GGCTTATGAATGTTCTTAGTTCAATTTTCCTGTGTGTTCTCTTTGGTACCTTGGGATGCCCGAGGTGATTTATAAATATGTGTAGAGACCAGGTGTATTGCCAGATGTTTATGTCCCTTTACAACAAGGCTTCACCATCCCTTCCAATGGAACGCCTGTCTTCTATTATTTTTTCTAATAGAGGATCAACTGGACTACAGGGTATTCATGAGCTCTCCCTGTGTAGGATTTTTTCTTAATTTACTTTTCTATCATCTTGTTTCTATATTTAAAACAATGCTAAGTCTTTAAACTTCTCTAAGTACTCTTTAAAAAAAATTAGAGCTCCTTTCACATAAAAAAAATCGCAGACAAATGTCAACAGTTCCAGGTTTAAATCAATGAAGTTTGACTCGCTGCCAGAATGATTTTTAATCTTAAAGTGTTACCTACACTCACTTTATTTCTGTTTCACTCCACCTCCTATTTAGAAATAGTAAAAACCTGGTTTATTACAATAGCTGTATAAACGGTAATTGTAGATCATTCTCTTAAATATAACTGTATTAAGAAATAACCTGTAGCCCTGAGGGTGAACCAGTCACAAGCGGCAAAAAGGACAAAGTGATTTGCCCAAGGTCATATAGTCAAATGATAGAATGGAAAAGAAAATACAACCTGATTTAATTAGGAGTCGGCACTGTAAATACTAGGTGAGGGGCAGTAAGATTTTTCTCAGTACATCTTAAAACATAAGGAGGTAAGTTCATGTGTATGAGGAGGAAATAGTAAGTGAACAGAATGTATGAACAGTAATGCCACCTGAAATTTTATTTTAAGGTTATTTTTAAATTCTGGGTCCTGTAAAAGTCTATAAGGACCCAAGAAAGTCCATTTGCTAAATGTCCTCTTTAGGAAATAAATTATTTTAATTTCTTCACATTAAGCAGCCTCCTTTTTCCCAGTGTTTTATGCCATGAGAATGACTAAACTGTCTCCTTCAGTAAAGCTGCACTTGTATAAGTAAGCATTCACAAACTGAGGTCTTACTAATCGACCCCAAGCAGTTGGTGAGAGGGCTTATACTGGGAAGCATGAGGCAGGATGCAGTTTAGAGATCTAGGACAACACAGTTAATGTAATCATTTCAGGCACATTCACTGACAGTTCAAACATATATAACTGCATAAGTGATTTGTATGTTTTAGATTAAAAAGCCAACAACAACTTTAGAACTATTTTCAACAGTATTTCCTATTCAAATACTTTCAACATTTATTTTTGCAATTGAAGGAAAAAGCAGTTCCGTAGTTATAGGAAAGATGTTCAAGAAATGACAGGCAGCAGGGAAGAGAGTACTGATTTTTCTCAGATGAAGTGATTATTAGCACTGAAGAGACAATCGGGAAAAACGAAGAGTCAGCATCTTAGCTGCTGTATCTTGAAGACAAGGACAAAGCCCCATCAAGTTCCAGGTATAAAGGAATTTGGAACATGATGCCAACAGAAAAAAAAAAAAAACAAAAACAAAACCAAAACAACCCTGAAATATGGAATTGTATCAGTATCTAAGGAGGACTGAAACACTATGAAGTTAATAATTAAAAAATCCCACGCCGGTTCTGCATGAGCAATCAGTTCAAAGGTGTTTTCTTTTGGACGTATATACATTTTATATTTTTTCTATGTTTACGTATGTAATGCTTGAAGCATATGGACACCTAGATGCTAGCTGCTGTGTGATATACATAGCAGTGCTGTCAAATAAATTAGGCACAGCTAGAAATCAGTATGTTTCTCCGTAACGGCTTTGTATTACTAAAGTAAATACATGCCTTCAGCTTTTTTATCTACTCAATCAATTTTGGTTATTAATACATAACTGAGTTATTTTTCTTTAAACTAGGAGTCTCTGTTGGTGAGCCTTGTTTTCTCCAAAATACTTCCCTCTGTTAACTGTGTACCCGAAACTGAAGGGGAGACGAGGAAATACTCAACTCCTTGGATTAGCCTCTTCCTAAGGAAGACCTTAGCCCTTCAAACCAGGCCTCCACTGCCCTACACTAACCCACCAGTAAGCTGTGGGATTCTCCAAAGCCGCTGACCTCAATCTGGCTGTGAACCATCGCCAGGTCTGGAGAGCCCCTTTTCCCCTCGGGCACCGTCCTTCCCCCCCGCTACTCCGGAGCCGGCCGGCCTGGGCGTGTGGGCACCCCAAACGCCGCCGGCACAGCACCCCCGTCACCTGCCCCGCCACGGCGGGAAGCACGAACATTACTGACAGAGTCGCAGTGCTGGAGGAGGAAACTCTAGCCCAGGCCTGGGCAAATTCATTGAAAGAGAGAGGAGCCAAAGCACGCTCCACTCCCGCTCCCCTCACACGTTCACAGCTGGCCTGTGCCGACCAAGCAGGAGGCTAGGAAGCAAACTACAGAATTACAAAGGTAAATATTTATTCATGCACGTGAGACGCCCCAGGCAAACTGGGCACATCCCAGGAATCTTCCTTTAGGGGTTTTATACAAGGGTATGATATGAATCACCTAATTACCTACTAACGCATATTTCTAATTATCCAATCATAAATGTGGTACAGCAAAGCAATTATATTTTTGTATGTCTTGCAGCAGCAGCATCCATCAGCATCCTTGTGGCTTATCTGCTAATCCAGATGTTTCTGTCGTCAACTTCTGCAAAGTTATCAAGCATCAGCAACTTGTGTTTCTCCTAGATACAGACCCCTCAGGAAATTTTGCGGGAAAGTTTCCTTATCTTAGCCGATCGCTTGTTCTTCTTGGTAGGGGCAGGTGGTGGGGTCTTGGGTCTTGAGATAGTAAGACAGCAATTATACGCTAATAACGCTCTTGGCTCCTACTGACCGCACGCTGTCAGTAATGTACATCACGCTCTCCGCCCCGGGGGGGCGGGCGGTAGAAAAGCGAGCAACGCCCGGGCGGGAACCGCGGGCAAACACACACACACACACACACACACACACACACACCCCCGCGGCGGCCTGGGGACCCGCACGCACCCCCACGGCGCGGGGCCTACCCCGACACAGCCCTCGCCCCCACGGGACGCCGGCTCCTTCGTCCCGCCCCACCGGGACGCGGCCACAGCCGACCCCGGCCCCGCCGCCGTCCCGCCATGCACCGCGCCAACACCCCCCCCACCCCGGCAACCGGCTCGAGGCCGCGGCCCGCGCGCGCCCTCAGGAGCAAAGCTCCGCCCCCCTCGCCCCGCCGCCGCGCCGGGCCCCGCCCCCTCCTCCTTCTCCCCACCCTCGGTCCCGCCCCCTCCCCGGGCTCGGCGGGGCCCCGCCCCCTTCCGCCTCGGCTCCCCCGCCGGGTCACGCCCCCCTGCTTCAACCGCGCGTCGCGATTGGCGGCGCCGCCGGCCTTCCCGGGCCTCCCTCCTCCACTCAGCGCCCGCCGCGGACCGTCACTCATCGGCGGGGCGCCGCGCCGGTTGGCGGCGGCGGCGGCGCGGGCGGGCCGGGCTGTCACTCAGGGAGCGGAGTCCGAAGTGGGGAGCGGGGAGGGGGCGAACATCTGTCTGCCGCAGCCCGGGCCCGGCTGTGCCGCCGCCGCTGCCGCCGCCGTGCGTGCGCCCGTGCTGCGTGCGCCCGGCGCCCCCGCCCTCCTTCCCTCCCCCCCCCCCCCCCCCACCGCCCCTCCCCCGCGCCCGGCCGCCCGGCCCCGGGCTCCGCGCCGTCTCCGGCCGTCGGTGCCATGGGGAGCCGCTGAGCGCGGGGCCCGCTTCGCTCCGCCGGCTGCCCCGCTCGCTCCTCAGCTGCCGGCAGGGGGGAGGCCGGGGGGGGGGGGGGCGGCGGCCAGCGGGTGCGGGGGGCGGGCGGGGGGAGGGCGGGAGGGGGGAGAGACGCGATCCCGGAGCGGCAAGTGAGCGAAGAGGAGCCGGCGGGCGGCGGCGGCGGCGGCGGCGGGAGCGCGGGGACTTCGGGCCGCCGCGGAGTGTGAGTCCCGCTGCCCCCATCCCCACACACCCGCCGGGCCGGGCCGGGGCCGCTGCGGCCCCGCGGGGCGGGCGGAGTTGGCGACGGGTCCGGCGGGGGGTGGGCGCAGCCGGGCGGAGCGGCGGGGGGGGCGGGGGCAGCCCTCCCCGGGCGGCGGGACCGGCCGCCCCGGCGCCGCTCCCGGTTACTTTTCTTTTGTTGCCGCCGTGACCCGGGGGCGGCTTTTCCTGCGCGCCGGGCAGCTGCTTCCTTCCCCGCGGGGCGGCCGCCGGCGCGCCCGGCCCCGGCCCCGGGCGGGGGTGGGGGCGGCGCTGCCCGGCGGGACCAGGCCCCCGCGCCGCGGGGGGCGGCGGGCCCCGGCCTGTGGTGGCGGGGAGGGGGGGGGTGGGGGCAGCCCCGGCCAAAAGTTGCCGCCGCCCGGTGGGGATGGAGGTGGGAGGTGGGGGGGCACCGGGCCGGGCCGGGCCCGGCCCGCCGGGAACTTGCTGCGCGCCGGCGGCGGCCCTGGGCGCTGCGCCCCCGCCTCACGGCCCGGCTCGGCCCGACCCGGCCCGGCCCGGCCCGGGGGGCAGCGGGCTCGGCTCCCCCCCGGGGGCGGCAGCGGGCAGGTGAACCGCCCAACTTGGTAGACGCGAACGCGGCGTGAGTGTGAGCGGGGGGGGGGCCCGGCGGGACCGGCCCCGGCGGCGGTGCGAGGGGGCACGGCCGGGGGGAGGGCAGTGGGGGGGCTGCCGGGGCCGGGGGGCCGGCGTCCCGCTGCCACAGCAGTCAAATAAATGACAGCCCGAGCCCCCCCCCGCCGGGGGAAAAGCGATTTATGAGAAAAGCTGAACGCTTGAAATAGTGCCCCGGCCAGGTTAACTGCTTCGCTGGTTTAAATTGAGCTGGAGCTGGAGTTGGAGTGCTCGGTATCGCTTACGCTGTCTAAACGCTGAAACTGAAAGGACCGACGGCGGAGCGGGGAGCTGCCAGTTGAGGCGATGGCTTCGCTTAATTTCTTCTTTTAACCGAACCTCTGGGCTCGGTAGAACCGAACCGGTATGGATTTCTCAGGTAACCCCGTGACTGGGGTACTCTGTCAGGAGATAAAGCGGTCCTCCAACTTGAGGCAGAAGTGTTGCTATGCTGCAAATACAGTAGAGCCCCATATGTTTAGGATTTTCTTTTTTTTTTTTTTTTTTTTTTTTTCCCTCCCTGTTAGAAAGTTTGAAAAAAAGAGACTTTGAAGTATTTTGTTTATACTAACAGAAGAGAAAAGTTCTCCTAAGAAAAAGCTGGTGGCAGGAGTGTAGAGGAGTAGCATATGGCATTAAAAGGAGCACAGCTGGAGGTAGCATTTCCATCTGAACATGATGTCAGAGCAGCTGACAGCCTGCCATCCCTCAGCCTTTTATTCTAACACACAGACAGGGAGTTAGTGTGTGCAGATCTGTGTGTGGAGAAGGTATCTCATTCCTCTCTAACATCATCTCCACTTTGCATCTGTCTCTCCTAGTCTGCTTTTTTTCCACCGATCTAACAGACCTGGAGCCAGCAAGACTCAGAGGAAAGGACTTAATCAGGTTTATGTGTACTAAAGGTAGGAGTAGCAATAGATTAGATACAGCATATTTCTGTTTTGGTGTGTTGTTTATTGAATTTCAGAAAAAAAAAATCACATTACTTTTCTAACCAAGTTTAGGGGTAATATATGAAATTGAGTGTTAAATAGATAAGTGGACTTAGTCAAAAGACTTGGGCTACAGTTGGAGAGTATCAGTTCTTGGGCACGTTGTTAGCATTAACTTTAATGCATATTGGGAGAATGTCTTGGTTTGGAAGAAGGACAGAGCAAGTTCAGTCTTCATTTCTGAGACCAAAACTGCAATGGATCTAGTGGCAAGCCTAAAGAGAGTTCTGCTTTCTCTTCTCGCATTGCATCTTTTAAATGACTTTATGGGGGTTTTGGTGAAAAAGTGTGCTTTTCTGAAAAAGGACTGTTCTGGCTAAAATGTGTTTGTGGGGAAGTCTTTCATTAAACTTCACGGTTAAATATCCAGCAACTCAGAACCATAGTAGCATACAGCTGTAGTGCTTCTGAAAGATAGAAATCAGTTATGTGTTTAAAAACTTTTGTACCCAGGAGAATGGCTTGACTGGTTTCCTCTTTTCTTTCTCGCGTGTAGCATTTGAAATCTTTTATTTCAGCATAACAATAATTATTTGAAGGAGTTTTTGTATTTGCGACTAATTTAGAACTTGTAGATTTGAGCTGCCTGAATTGGCCAGACAGCTGTAATCGCACTCCTCTATTCTTAATCTCTTTATCTGGGCAGCAGCTGCCATATGGCCACAGTCAGCTGGATCAGATGTTTATAAGCTTCCTTCTTCGTCCCTCTCTGTCCTTTCAGCCTCCTAATTTGATCACAGCTACCTTGTGAGCTGCCCTCCAATCTTTATTTTTAGCCCTCTTAAGGATTAGGATTGATGTTGGCTGTGGGGCACTTAAAGTGATTGTATTGTAAATCTTCGTGCTTTACTCTAGCAACGGTATTTTACAGAATATAGTAGGGGTTGTGTTGTAAGTTTTAGTATATCTTGGTTTGTGAGGGATGAGGATTTTTCAGTCATATATGCCAGCCTAGAGATCTGCTTAGATGGTTTGGGAGAGCGTTGCTATCAGTCACAGAAGAATAGATTAAGGCAGGTTTTTAAGAGATTTTTACTTTCCATTTGAGTTTTGACTTCTCTACGTTTTGGTTTTTTTTTTTTTTTTTTTAAGTTTATTTTTTCTTTATCATCAAGGAAGGTGAATAGAAGAATACTTGGGTAAGAACAGCACTCAGGATACTGATTTTTAAATATGCACACATGCACACACGCTCACGTTGAATGACTTTTTTTTTTTTTTTTTTTTTTTTAAGTTTGGTACTGCAAACTCTGCCTGGTGTGGGAGGGGAAGGAAATTTCTGTCTTTCTGCATAAGGGAAGCGGTGCTCGTTGGCGTTTTGCTTGTTAGTTTTCTTTTGTAAATTCTGCATGTTGGCAAAAAATGTTCTATTGTATAGTATGGAGAAGGCTTAAAACCTGAACTGTACTTACTACAGGAAGAAAACCACGTGAACAAAATTTCTAAAAACCTTCATTTTGCTGTCGATATAAATTGACACACGTAAATAATTTTGATACTTACGAATGTTAGACTATCAGATTTGGGTATATTAGCATTTCTTCATGTATGAACCTCTCCTCTCACTACAATTTGACTTCGAAAAGAAGGTTGATGATCTGATTTTTATTTTTTTTTTTCTCCTTCCCCCTCTGTGATCTCTCAAACTTAGTGTTAAAAAAAAAAAAAAAAAATTTTTTTTCGGGTCTGCCTTCCTAGGGGCGCAATCTGGAGGAAGTTCCCTAAAAAAAAAGTAAATAACTGTTGAACAGATTTTGTGAAAAGCAGTGATACTTTAAAGAAATTACAGATGTACCTATGCGGTTATTAGAAGGGCTTATCTACCACGGAAAGGAAATCATAACTTCAGTGGTTGATCGGGAAAAGAGTTGCCATCGTACATGCGTGTTAAATAACCTTTGCATGGTGTCAGTACCAGAATTCTGGCAATATAAAACACGAGGCTTTTAGAGTGGAATAACTTGGATTTGTAAGTTATGTGATTCCGACCTACATTTAATTTTTAAAAATCTCGTTACTTATAGGTTATGAAGACAGTATGGAGTTTCCTGACCACAGTAGACATTTGCTACAGTGTCTGAGTGAGCAGAGACATCAGGGTTTTCTTTGTGATTGCACTGTTCTGGTAGGAGATGCCCAGTTCCGAGCGCACAGAGCTGTACTGGCTTCATGCAGCATGTATTTCCACCTCTTTTACAAGGACCAGCTGGACAAAAGGGACATTGTTCATCTGAACAGCGACATTGTTACAGCCCCAGCTTTCGCTCTCCTGCTTGAATTCATGTACGAAGGAAAGCTCCAGTTCAAAGACTTGCCCATTGAAGACGTGCTAGCAGCTGCCAGTTATCTCCACATGTATGACATTGTCAAAGTCTGCAAAAAGAAGCTGAAAGAGAAAGCAACCACAGAGGCTGACAGTACAAAAAAGGAGGAAGACGCCTCAAGTTGTTCAGACAAAGTGGAGAGCCTCTCCGACGGCAGCAGCCACATGCCAGGAGACTTGCCCAGCGATGAAGACGACGGAGAAGATGAAAAATTGAACATCCTGCCTAGCAAAAGGGACTTGGCGGCTGAGCCTGGGAACATGTGGATGAGATTGCCCTCAGACTCAGCAGGCATTCCCCAGACTGGCGGAGAGGCAGAGACGCACGCAGCAGCAGCTGGAAAAACAGTAGCCAGCCCCTGCAGCTCAACAGAGTCTTTGTCCCAGAGGTCTGTCACCTCCGTGAGGGATTCAGCAGATGTTGACTGCGTGCTGGACCTGTCTGTCAAGTCCAGCCTTTCAGGAGTTGAAAATTTGAACAGTTCTTATTTCTCTTCGCAGGACATGCTTAGAAGCAGCCTGGTTCAGGTGAAGGTGGAGAAAGAGGCTTCCTGTGATGAGAGTGATGTTGGCACTAATGACTATGATATGGAACATAGCACTGTGAAAGAAAGTGTGAGCACTAATAACAGGGTACAGTACGAGCCGGCCCACCTGGCTCCGATGAGGGAAGATTCAGTCTTGAGGGAGCTAGATAGAGAGGACAAGGCAAGCGATGATGAAATGATAACGCCAGAGAACGAGAGAGTCCAGGTGGAAGGAAACATGGACAGCAGCTTGCTCCCGTACGTGTCAAACATACTTAGCCCCGCTGGCCAAATTTTCATGTGTCCTCTCTGCAACAAGGTCTTTCCTAGCCCCCACATCCTGCAGATCCATTTAAGCACGCACTTTCGAGAGCAGGACGGGATCCGCAGCAAGCCTGCTACCGATGTCAATGTCCCGACCTGCTCGCTGTGTGGTAAGACTTTTTCTTGCATGTACACCTTGAAACGTCATGAGAGGACTCATTCAGGTGAAAAGCCCTACACTTGCACCCAGTGTGGGAAGAGCTTCCAGTACTCCCACAACCTGAGCCGCCACGCAGTGGTTCACACGCGGGAGAAGCCTCACGCTTGTAAGTGGTGTGAACGCAGGTTCACGCAGTCCGGAGACCTTTACAGACACATTCGGAAGTTTCACTGTGAGTTGGTGAACTCATTGTCTGTCAAAAGCGAAGCACTGAGCTTACCTACTGTCAGAGACTGGACCTTAGAAGATAGCTCACAAGAACTTTGGAAATAAAATTTTTATATATATAAATAATATATATATAAATCTATATAGTTGTGGTACAGTCTAAAAGCAATCTTGTTTCCTTGAACTGAAAGTTTGGCTATTAGCTTGTTTTTGCACTTTAAGGCAGCATGAGTATTTCACTAATTTAGCACTCCGATAAAATGAACTGTAGAGGTAATCCGACAAAGTAACAAATTACGGAGCGTATTTTTCCCCCTTTTCGGAATAGAAGCCAGCGGATACTTTACTTCTAAGGAATCTCCAATTCAAAAAATTTGGATGTGGCTTTATTCTCCCCAAAACACTGCGTTCTTTTGAGCTCTCAATCTTTTTCCTCTTAAAATCTGATTGTAGAAATCCTCTCCCAATTTTGTCAGTTCCTTTACATTTCTATAATTGCATGAGTCCTTTCTAGCTGTTGGAAACCTGAATGCTTTTAGACCCAAATGGAAAATTTCTGAAATGCTGGATTATCTATTTTTAAACAAGCGGTTGACTTAAAACTTACTATGGCAACTTCTGGATTTCTGACAGTTCCCACTGGAAAAAAAAAAAAAAAAAAAAAAAACACACAAAAAAAAAACACAAAAAAAAAAAACACAAAAAAAACATAAAACAAAAACCCTGAGAGTACACTGGGATCACTGGGACTCTGTCTTACGTGAAGGTTTGCTTGGGATGAAAAAGGATATTGCAGCTTCAGCAGTGATGAACTGTGTGTTTAAAAAATGTGAATTACTGTTATTGTATACTGTAATTGATTACATGGGCCGGGGGGAGGTATCAAAGAACTTGGCAGGTTGTGTTGATGCTCTTAGTTGAGTCTTGAAAAGTAAATATTAACGCTACAGAAATGCATGATTTTCAGTATATTTTTGTCTTTGTTTGCATTGTATAACTTTAACGAGTGAGTTGAAAATTATTTAATTTCCTTAGGAAAAAAAACGACACCGCTGCAAATGCCGGTGTTACGAAGAAGAGAAATGCACTGTTTTTATTTTATCTAATTTAAATTTACTTTCCCACTGTCTTTTAAGTTGAGAAGAACTTAAGCTACGAGTCGCCGATTTAGCTACGTTAACAAGGAAAAAAAAAAAAAAATGAATGTTTACAACCAGGCTTCGAGATTTGCATGTGCGGTGTGCATTTACTAACCCCAGACCCCTTCTAATTGCACAGACCCCACGCCAGCTCCAACTGAGGTGTGTCCATTTCCCCAGATGAGCATTTGTAGGATTCCTGCTGCACCACTCCACCACAATAGGTCGTTCTTTTTTTTCCCCCCCGTTGAAAAGAGGCTGTGGACTGAAGAAAAAAAAAAAAAAAAAAAAAAAAGTCCCGGGCTGAAAGGCCTGGGAAGGCCTGAGTGACAGGGGGGCCGGGGGAGGGCAGGGGAAGGACTATGTGTATCCAAGCAGCAGAGACTGCAGCCTGACGTGTGGTTTTAATGACCAACACGCAGGTCAAAAGCATTTTGCACAGTGTTTGTTTTCCTGTCTTGCACTTACAAATAAGGTCTATGGGAGTAGCATGGAAAACGTTTGCTGTTTTTTCCTTTTTTTTTTTTTTTTTTTCTTTTTTTTTCCTTTTTTTTTTTTTTTTTTCCTCTGCTTTTGTTTAAAATTTGATCGCCTTAACTACTGTAAACATAGCCTATTTTTGTGCTTAAGATACTGAATGGAAAACTCCATTGTGTATTGCTGGACTGTTTTGGAAATATTTGGTCAAATGTGTGTTAATTTGGCTGTAATGGCATTTAAAACAAAAAAAAAAAAAAGCTGTGAAAATGGCCTTGGAGCGTTATCTTTAGTTACTTGAATAGTTTCTAGGTTTTAAAACTACATTCTTTTCTTAAGTTAGAGAAGACAATCAGTGTCTGAGGAAAATGGACTTTCTCTTGGATTTTTTTGTGGTCCTTGTGAGTGATTGCTTTTTTCCTTTCCTTAGTTTCACATTCTTCTTTTGTTCTAAAACTTAGACTGACATCTAGCTTTGACAATCATAGTATGTTTTATTTTCCTGAGGGGGGAATAACTTATAATGCTGTTTAGTTTTGTACTATTGGTGTGTTGGTGAATTTTTAAACTGTGTGCTAACTGCAATAAATTATATGAACTGAGAAATCAATTCCCTTGTCTTTTTTCCCTCTTTTAAATTATAGTTACGGAGTATTTTTTATAATGTGTAACTTTATTACTTTTGTACAGACTTCTATTGCTAACTGTGTATGGAATATGTTTTCAGTATGCTTTTGAGCACTTTGTTGCTAACGTACATATTTACATCTCACTTAACATTTAAAAAAATTAAATGCTTGTGTTTTGAAAGCATTTCTGTGTGTGTAGCTCTTGATCATTCTGTAGAGGGATTTCTTACTATTTTTTTCTTCCCCAAAGACTTTTACTGCAGCAATCTATTAAATTCCAGAAATTTTGCTACCATGCAAATATCTACGCAGGCACACAATTCCCCTCCTGGGCTTAATTTCACCTCAAGGAGCTTTCTTTGGCTCACTCTTTTGTATTCAGTCTCTATCCGAACATTAGAGCAGAAGGCAACAACTTAATCTGAAGCACGACCGGGTACTGACTGGCCGTCAACATTACAGTAGGCAGTCAAAATGTCTAAAATACTGGTAATACATCAAAACTGTCTGGGCTACAGAAGAAAATTTAAATAATCCTAAATCTGTTTGGGGATTTGTCTTGTGGGCTAAACATTTCTTTTAAAAAAAAAAAAATAAAATGAAGCTTAGCAAAACCTTTGAAAAAGACCTGGTTTAGATGCTTGTAGGATATACCCAGAATTCTTGCTTGAGGCTGCTCCATCCCAGGAACGAGACCAGCATTGCAGAGCCCAATGGGAATACAAAAGTAGAGCTAAATTAGAAGTCTGGAACAGAGACAGCAGTACCGATTTGAAGGGAAAAAAAAAAAAATATCTTAATTTAAACACTTCATTACCTTTGTCATCTGCCTAGGTCCAACTGAAGTTGCGCCTTGACCGAATGACTCTCGGAGCCTAATGCTATTCTGCTTACCTTCCTAGATCTACGGTCATTTGTACTTAGCCAAAATGATCTTTTTCACTGTTTTTTTCTTTACAATAATTTTCAATCATCATCTTCTGTGTTTGGGTTGGTGGGGCTTTTTTTTTTTTATTACAGATATTTTGAAACCATTTCCTTTTGTCAATGTTAGCATCTTCAGCCGCATAGATTTCTCTTTTTCTAGCAGCAGATCTTTTCTGTAGGCTTTCATATGATAGAATATTATGTGTAGTTAAGATGGTTTAAAGTATCGTCAAGGCTGAAAAACGGCTAATATTGCAGTTCTGAAATCCATGCAGCTGATGAGCTGTGGATGTGGCTCTAGGCAGATTCACCATTTGTTCCCCAACATTATAATTTTCGAGGATTGTAGATTCCCAAATAAAACTAGACTTAGAAGGAGCCCTTCTTCAGAAGGGTAAGAGAAAACATAACTTAGCCATTAACGACAAAATAATCCAAGATATCCTTTATACTTTTCGGTTTTATCTAGACGGTCTATACATGTGCAGCACACACTTGCTTGTGGCTATCAAAGTGTTTCTTCAATGAAAAGATGAAACATACACCTGTGTGTTGCGTCTCTCCATAAGGTTTAACGTACTGACATACCTAAATATCTGTAACATTTTTTTCTTTTTTTCTTTTTTTCTTTTTTTTTTTTTTCAATACAGTCCCTGGATTATGAAGCTTGAGAGAACATTTTATTTGGCTTGAGAATAGGTGGTAACAAAATCCTCACTGTTCATGTTGCCATGATGGTTGAAGGCAAATTGCAGGAATGGGAACTGTATGCTCTGAACTTCGCAGGCTCAGAAGACTTTCTCTGACCGGTGATAGCCATCGCTTTTTAACTGTGAGTTCTTCTAGCCCAAGACTCACAGGGAACATGCTAAATATATCAGTGGGCTATTTTTTTCACCACTGCCTGTGATAGCTTGATATTCTTTAATTACAAGTTATTCCTCTAAGCCCAAAATTAGGGCTTTGGTGTAACACAGACTTTTGCATCAGGTGTAACATTCTACAGGACATCTGTTTACTGAGACTTTTGCGTGTTTTACGTGAAATTTGAAGAACTTGGTAGGAGTTTAAAATTAAACTTTCTGGCCAAGGAAGGGAAGGGATCCTCACTGCCTTTCCTGCTCTCCTGCATTAGGGTGAAAGCAAGTACCAAACACTCCCATATACTTCTGCTGAGCCTGAGTGAAACCCTCCAAAACTTGCGTTGCCCTCTTGGAAAATTAAATAAAATTTTAAAATTAATTTGCAAAGGGACAGATTCCCTTTTCCCCCTGTGCTGCCTCACCCCGGCAGCCGTGCTGGCTCACCTGCTCGGGGGGGTCACCACCATTTTCTCTCCCTGCCGCAGCGTACCCTCTGCTTTCCTTCTGCAGATAATGGATCAAGTGATTTGGTGGTGGTGGACTGACTTTTTCTTTTCACTCCTAATTAATTCTACAATAATCAAATGTTCTAACTTTCTAATGGACTCCTAATCTATAATTTTTAAAGCACGTTTTTCCAGCCCACTTTCCAAAACGGAAGCCTGAGCCCCCCTTTTTATGATCAAGGATGCTGCAGCAATTTGTAGCTGAGGAGAACTTGGAAGGGGAGAAAATTTCTACCTGCTCCATCCCCTCATTTTGAAGCAATGTGAGTTCCTTCAAAATAAGGGTGAAATACATTTCAAGTCTGCAAAAATACCCTAACATTAGAAAACTGATTCTAAAATATTGTCATGTAGTCCTCTGTAGGAGAATTCTCAAACTTATACATTATTAACACTATTTGTCCATGTGATTTCCAAACGGAAGTATTTCCAGAGAGTATGGTCTTTTCTTAAAGATAATCTAACCAAAGCATTAAGGTTTTTTTACTGGGATGGTAAACGTGAATTTTAACAGAACTGCCTGCTATTTTTAAAGTGAGGAAAAAGTGATGCACAGATCTTCTGGGCTCTTTCAAAATATTCTGGTTCAGGAGTCCCTGTTTAATTTTTGTTGAACTTCACTCATATTTTAATCATGTCATCAAATATAGTTAGTTTGGTAATAAAAAGTATTTTCTAGATGCTAAGAGACTTCTTTCTCTATTCGTACAAATGCTTTTGGGCAGAAGGTGGAAATGTTCCCTCTTGCCGACAAATGAAGATAGTCACGGGCAGAAGAGCCCTGCTTATTAAAACCTACAGCCAGCAGCTCCTGCTAGTGTGATAAAATTCAGCTAAACCTGTTAATGGGTCTTACCGATGAGAGATTACGTCCTTTTGGGAAAGATTATCCATTTTAGTATCATAGGATAAAAAAGAAGCATTACTTTTAACCGATTGTCAAATCAAAATGCTCTCGGTGCACATAACACACAGCTTCCCCAGCTCTGCCAAAGCAGAAGAGGGGTGACTCTTCTGCACAGCCAGGCAGCTGTAAAGCCAAAGGTGGGACAGGCTTAACTCTTGACAGTGACAGCAAACGCTGCAGAGGTTTCAAGTGGTAGAGAACAGAGATGTCTGCCCCAAAAAAAAAAAAAAATTTTTTTCAAAAATAATCCCTATTTGACCAGGAGTGTTTTTATTATGTTGGAATTTCTTGGGTTAATTAACTTTTTAGACCAACAGAACTTGCCTGGGTTGTCTTCAGGAATTGGAATCTTCAGGTTCATTTAGTTTCTTACTTTCAGGGTTTTTTCCTCAAGAGATGGTCACTCCACTAATACACAGTCGTCTTGATGATGAACATACACGGTTTTCATTCTTGATAACTCCCGACATTTTAACCATTCGTAGCAGGGGGCCACAAGTGCCCACCCCTGTGTAAAAACACTCCCCTCACTGGGACAGACTTTGTGCCTCTCCTGTACCACGGCTGATACTGTGGGGTCAAGTTTTCTTTTCTTTTTGAGATTTTTACAGCCTGGCTCTAACAAGCTTTTGCTTGGGGCTACAAGGGAGAACATATGCAGTCTAGCCTTGGAGCTGAAATTTCCATGTGATTGGGGATTTTTAGGATTGCAGGAAATAAATAAATGATTAATTGCAAAATACAGCTGGTGATTATTTTTTAGGATGTTTTTATGTGCAGGGTCTCGGTATTTCTTAACCTTAGAAATGCGCTTTAAAATGCATATTGTATATGAACATATGTGTGTGTGTGTGAGGAAGTACTTTAAAACAACTTGCTAATTTTTATTTAGGTGTGCATCGAAATCCCAGCCTCGCTTATTCCTTAAAGATCTTTAGAAGATGTGTTTATGTGTTCCTGTGTAGCAGCCAATGTGTCGTGGTCTTGTGTAATCTATTGCTTGTGATTCCTGCAGTTATCAGCATTAATCTGAGCACCAAGAAGGATTTTTTATGCCACGTCCAGAACATGCCAGATAGGGATTTACACAGCACATCCCCAGCCATTACAACCCAGCTTTAAATTAGTAAAATATTTAGAGAGCAAGTTACATGTACATCATGACTTCTGAAAGGATTTAACTGGTAAAGCAATATGTTACTGCCTCAGTACTACAGGAGGTATATTAAAAGGCTTAACTGTCTCAAAACAGCTCTATGGCATGGTATATGCTGTATCTGGATGTAAATCTAGATAGGGATTTAAATATTTCTTTCACAACCTTCCTGAAATACATTTTGGTTAAGTCTTATCTACACCTATTAAGAAAATAAAAACTACCCTCAATGCTACATTTTAGGCTTTTGTCAAATTTTCTTCAATTTTAGCAATAAAACTACTTTTTATAAACTTTTGGATGTGTTCCCAATATACATTTTACAATTTTAAAAATGTACTTTATCTATAAATAAAACCCCTTGAAACTGATAGAGGTTTATCATACAAGATTTGATTTATTTTCAACTGCATTTGCCACGTATTCGCACTTAGTGAGGATTCATGTTGAGATAATTTTGGAAATTCATACCAAGATAAAATATAGTTAAAATCTTAATTAAACATCTCCTATCTTCATAGGCTATAGCTACCAGGTCTTCATTTTCTGTAGCTTATTCTCTCTTTTTAAAGTAGTTTGACTGGCACCATCTATCCAGAATCTGATTTCTGTTCGTAGATGA